CCATCACTTCCACGTGCGTCCTCCTGACTGCGGCAGCCGGGCGCTGCGGCAGGTTAAGCGGTGAGGGGGGGGGAGCTGTGATTGACACTCCATCAGACGCTCCTCTGACTGTGATTGGTTGTTTTGACTCGTCCCGAATTATTCTTTCCAGATGGAAATACAGGTAGTATGCGGGACCAATTGAAGCAGTTTTTTTCACAGGTTACATATCACATGTACTGCTGTCTGGGCATAGGGACAGTTTTAGCCAATATGACAAAAAAGTGATTTTTAAAAACTTACAGACTTCAGCTTTAATGGATTAACATCACATGGACCAAAAAGAGAGCAGACATATCAGGAACAAAGTGGTTCCCTGACTCCACATTTCTCAAGCAGAGTAGGGAATGTAGGTCAGAGTTGATACAGAAGTTTGTTGGAAAAAACCTCAGGGCAAAATTTGAGGAGAGAACATATATGGGGCTGCAAAAGACTTGAAACTGGGGTGGTGGTTAGTTACTTCATTGTTTACACCAGTGGCGTCAAAAGTACACACATTTGTTATTTAAGTAGAAGTATAGATACTGCAGTTTAAAAACACTCTGGTAGAAGTTGAAGTATCAACTTGACCTCTTTACTCAAGTAAAAGTGAAAAAAGTATGTGCTGCTAAAACTACTTAAAGTATTAAAGTATAAAGTAACCTTAAAAAAACAGCCAGATGCCACCATATGAATTGAAAGCTCAATTTTTCGACTATTTGAAAAATTCTTTGAGATAGGGCCAAGGATAAGGGAGGTCTTGTTGGTCTCCATCTCCCGATACGCTCTCGCCTGTGTTCGACCTTTCAGACATTTCAACATCTTTTTCTGAATCTAACATTGTAGCATGGTAGAGACAATTCGCATTTGCAATTTGAAGAACGTCTGCTTGCTTCTGATGATTCCTTTTGGCATCAGCACAACATTTTTATTTAGCTAACCAATGAGTGTTTGCGTTATATGACTCATCCAGTTACACTAGTTTTCAGTAGATGTGGATGGCGCCAATGATCTGCATTGGATGGCAAACATGACGTTAAATAAATATGTATAAACATTTAACCGAAGCCAAGAGTAACGAGTAACGTTTGTAAGAACAGATATTTGTGTGAAAATGTAATGAGTGCAAGTCAGAAGTAGGAAGAAAAATAAGTAATGGAGCAAAGTACAGACACCTAAAACGTGTACTTAAGTACAGTAACAAAGTATTTGTTCTAACTTTGTTACTCGACACCTCTGGTTTGCACAAATGAAACAATTCAGTCTCACAAATCCACATAGAAATAAACTAAATGTGCAGGTAAGATAAGGCTTATAATGAACTTCACAACGTGTAAATTAAAATCACAAACTGGTAAACTGACATCAGCCTTAAAAGTATAAAAAAGTGATAAAGAATATAAGGGGAAAACTATGATCTTTCATAAGACTTCAACAGTAAGGAATTAAATAACTTTCACGTTGACTATTTAAAAATGTCTATCTGAGATGATTCAGTCTGTAAAGGACCAAAACGTTGAGAGAAATAAGGGAAATAATCTTGCAGATGTAGAAAAGGACTAGACAATAAAATGTACTTAGAATATATGTCAAAACAGAAGATTAAAAAAGATAACAATTATAATTTGGGTATTAATATCAGTAAGTATACCCTAAGACAAGGGTAGAGAAATGAAGGAATGAAAAGCAGTCTGCAGACAGAGGCTTGTCAATACAGATGTGTAGAACAGAACATAAAGAAAACAAAATGGAAGTTATATAAATAACGATAAGGCAACGCAAATATTAAGGTTAAGAGGCTGAGCTCGTAGATGATGATAAATAACATAGTTATGTATAATATATTACATTTCTGACTGTATATCCCTGTAATTATTACACACTGTAGCTTTAACAATACTTTAAAGACAGCTTTGTAATTCTGGGCTGTCAGACTTTTGATGAGGTCCAGTGTCCTGCAACTTTTATATTTGTCTCAATTTCATCATACCAGAATCATATAATTTGATCATTAACAAAACTCTGAGAACTTGTTGCATCATTCAGAAATGTAAAAGTTGCAGGAAACCAGACCTCAAGGAAGAAGTTCCCCTTCTCTGGATCCAGGTTCCTTCCTTTTGGTGAAAGTTGTAGTGAGAACTACGTATTGTTGGAGATGAGTGCTGTGCTTTCTCTGAAAAAGAATTAATGAATTTTAATCAGAATTGATACAAACTGGACAAGACTCACACATAATCAAATTAAACATTCACATATATATTTTGAGAACTTTTTTTAACAAGAATTGTTAAGGGCAATTCACTGGCAGAGGATTTTGCTTATTTAAATTCTTCCAAATTACCTATTCTAGCATTGCCTTTCTTTGCTAAGAATATTGGTCTCAAAGCACGATCAACATATATCTGCTTAGTCTGCTGCTGAGTATAGTTATCAAATTAGCTGAACAGGGATACATCGTCAATTCTTGGCGCTAATTGGCAAAAGGGAAACATATTTTTTTTAAAAGGACTTTAATAAATGATTATGATGTGTGGATTAAATTCATATTCAGGATTATATATGATATTCAGCCTATGTCTTGTTTTCTAATCCAGATCAGTATAAATCACAACTTTGCGCATGTGTGATTTATTTGCAATAATTGAAACGGAAAGAGTTCATTTCTTCATACATTCAGGCAGGTATTGCTGGAGGCATCTGAGCAGCTGCCTCCGCTGAAAATAGATTGGCGCTTCTCCAGTAACAGCATTGTCACACCTTGACAATTTAGCCTGCCTATGATGATGTATGAACAATTTGGCAAAAAAATGCTTGCATTCATTTGACAAGATATGGGTACATTTTGTATAAGTTATGAGCATGCTGAAGCACGTTAAGCCCGATGGTACACGTCGACATATGGTAGGTACGTCAGGAAATTTTGAGCATGCTCAAAACTACTTACTCCACTAGGCCTGTGAGCCATTTTTCATACTCAACTATCAAACTAAACATGAGTTTTGGGGTTTAAAACATGCTATACCCCATTACGCTGAAACTTTCTTGGACCCTCTGTTTTCAGTATCAATGTTTAATTAAATAAAAAATATGCTTAGAATCTGGTAGGGTGGCCTACTTATGCATTTCCTGGAAACAGTACATTGGTTAAATTTTTCCTGGTATCTGAGGGATAGTTTTTTCTGAGAACATGGTAGAACTAGAAAGACTGCAAAATTGAGAAGCAAGAGTTGGCAGGTGATCTGAAGGACTTTTTTAAGTGTTTAGTTTCTCTAGTAGTAAATGCATTGATTTTGACTGTTCTAAGGACCAGATATTGTTCAGATCATAATGAAAATCCAGCCTGATGCCCAGAAAATGGGTTCCTAATGTTTTCTATTATAGCCAGAGCTTTACAGTTAATCTTACCTCAGATGAAAGTCTCTGGTTCTCGGTAAAAGTGCTGAAACCCTAAGTTACTTTGAATCAGGGTTGAAAACCTTTTTGTTTAGATTTGTCTTTGAGTGTTCTACTTAAACGTCCAGCTAAAGTATCATTAGTTTAGCTTTGTACTCTATCATTTCTTTAACTGCTTTTGTGTTTTTAAGTGTATCATTCTTTTAATATACATTATCAAGGAATTATTATCTTATCTTTGGTAAATTTTTTATGTCTAACACTAACATTTATTACAAATTTGTGTTACTTACACTTTGCATCAAAGAATTTGTTGTCTTTATTCTTACAACCACTTTACACCTTTATCATGGAGACCTAAGACTTAATATTACAAACAATAAAATAGTACAAAAAATATGGTAAAAAATTCAACACAAACATAAAAAAAAAAATCAATTACAGAAAATATTGATATTCAAATTTGGCATAAGTCCATAATCATTTAATTAAACCCTTTTTTATTTCTAATAATCACAACATATTGTTAACTAAAATTACGCCCTAATGAATAGTATTTGTTATTTTTTTTCTCTTCTTAAAATAGCTAATATATGTTTTGGTGTGTTTATTTGTTTTTGGGGTTGTCTATATAACCACAAAAGCTTGGAGACTCAAAGTGTAGTTAGATCACTATATAAACAATGTGGGAAATATGTCATATCACATTACAATTGCTTTAGTTTTAGTGTTTTATTAATTATTTGGCTAATTAAAGCTACTCTCAGATATTAGTCAGCTTTACAAAGCTTTATTGGTTATTGATATCGAAACAAAAGGTGTCTCTGGAAATATAAGAACAATATTATTTTAGGACCGAGAAATGCAAACGTGTATTAAATTAATTCAAAAGTTAAATTAGAACACAGAGAGGGAGTCTTGCAAACAGTGATCCATGTGGGGGGGTGAAAGACTATTCAAGGGTTAGAGGAGCCTTCTGCAAAACACACTCAGGAAAATGGTAAAAGTGAGATGTGACCAACATGCTCCTATATTTAAACTTAGAGTACTCGTGTTAGTTAGACGGTTCAAGGAAGGGCTTTTTGAAAGGTTTTTTAAAAGAAGACAATTTAACTTTGAGGTGTACTGTATGTATAATCTCTGGATATTCTAAGTAAATGTCAACGGCCTTGTAAGAAATTGTGTGTATGGGTTAAATTTGACACCAAAGAATTGCCGTGGGTCAGATAGTTCGATTTTGCTGACTGACTTAACAGGTCCCTTCCACAAATTGCACAAGGGGTTTTTATGTATTACTTCAGAAGATATCCTCTGCCACAATGACCATGTAGTCTACAAAAACACCAACTTCTTTGGCGACTTTGACTCAACTACAGCTCATGATTATTGACGGTGTTAAGGTTGAACCAAAGGTCACATAGGTGATTAGTTCAGACTGCATACATTATTTTCATCAGTTACTTTGCACATAGTTTGGTTTTAATTGGATATGTTTTCTATTAAGTTCAACTCACTCCTCCCCCAAAATACCTTAAGGACAAAAGAAGTTTCACAATAGCTCCCTTAAATTCTTTGCACCCTCCATATTCTCACTTAATAGAACTGTCTTCATCAACGGGCTCATCAGGACCTTCCTTTCATACCTTCTTTCATTTAGAAAACATTTTTTTTTCTATTTGAACTAAAACTAGGAATCTGATCATCCAACTGAAATGGGGAAACTTCTTTTTTTCGTTGTTGCAGTTGTTGCATCCTTGGCTTTTGGTGAGTAGACATACATATGCTCAAGAACAATAATACAAAAAAGGGGGAAAAGAAGAAATGCCTTCCTGATTTTCTCATCACGTTGATCTTCAGTTTGATATGGTTTGCAGATGGATTAGAGATTCAAGTTATTGAATAATGAGTTGAGCTAGAGTTACTTGTTATTATTGATGATGTAATTGTTGATCATGTTATCATTAATAAGAAACCATTTTAACCATTTCAAGTGCATGCTAACTTTACTTTTCTTTTGTCATCACATTCTACCTTGTGAGCAAAGTGTTTTCCCCTTGGTTGAGAAGTCGACACTGCCTCACCATAAAGTGAGGCTGAATGGGCTCCATATAGGCGATATCCTAAGGGGTGTCTTTATTTTATTATTATTCAAGTGTTTATATTGCAAACAGAACCACATACATGAGTTGCATTCAGAGGGTCGCTAGTTTAAACCCCAGCTCCACCCCTTTTAATTGTTGGGCCAGGTGACACCTGTGTACAGCAGCCTTGCCTATGTTAGTGAGCCCCAAAGCAGCTGTGGCAATAATGTAGCTTGCCAATATCTTTGTGTGATGTGTGTGTGAATGGGTGAATGACTGAATGTAGCATAAAATGCTTTGGAGTGCACTGAAGTACAATAGTAGTAGAGGACATAATATCAAACAACCTAAAACATAATTATCAAATACAAGATAGATGGATATTGCTTTATTATGAAAATGAAAGTCTGACCACAGATTAAATATTTTCTTTGGTTGCACTCAGGGTGTGTTAATGGCACCGAGTGATACTATCTTCTAAATTGCAATGGTTTATATTATTTTTTCAAATATTAGACTAAAGGGACTAATTTCAAGCCATGGTCATTTCTGTCAGAATGGATAAAGCATTTCACATAAGAAATTAAAGTAAAGCCATTAATGTCTATAAGACAATGTCTGCAAAACATTCAGTTATTTATTGTAGGTTTTTTTATTTGCTTTGATACTTGTCACAGTTCCTTCTGGTAAGTCTTCAGCTTTTTTGTCTCCTTAGGGGAGTCCCTGACCTGCAACACTTGCAGTTTTGATATTTTGGACGTCTGCCTTAGCATGGGAACTGAGACATGTGCAGCCAATGTAACCAACTGTCAGAGTACATCCGTTGGTAAGTAATTATCTAAGAACCACACAAAATGTAGGCTAGCTAGTTTGTTGGCAAGGCTGGTTAACCTCTTTGTGTTTATGGAAATCTTACAAGTGTTTCGAGTTGGAAAGTTTAAAGGCAAACCATACAATGTCTAATGTAACTAAGCTATTTCTTTACAGATTTTACTCTCTTCTCCAACTTCTTCATCAAGTATAGCTGTCTAGCTAGGAACGCACAGTGTGATCGGTATTTTGTTGGATATTTTCTGGGATTTGAATATACAATCAAATCAGCCTGCTGTACTGAAGACCTTTGCAACACCTTTGAAATCCTCAACAGTGCCCCAACAACCAAGATGACCTTCACTACTGCAATCGTTGGAGCCATATTGGCTTCTCTGTGGGGGGGACACATTTAATAAAATTACAAACAAACTTTTCCTATCTTTAAATTAATTTGTGCAATAAATAGTATAGTTTAGAGATGTGTCTAAATTGCCAAAAGACCTTTTGAGGATAAAGTTGAGGGAATTAATTATCAATCTAAAGTGATTCTTTTCATGCTGATTTCTGAAAGATGGAGGCTGATCAATGAGATGTTCAAGAGAAACATTGAGTTCATGCATAATTCATGGTGATGATTCCTTTTCTTGTTTTTAAAAATACAATTGTTTTTCTTTTAATCTTTTTTCTTTCTTATTGCACAAACAAAAATGAATAAAATAGCTGTCATGAATCCTGCCTGTTTCTTTGTTTTTGGGGAGGCTGGCTGGCTGGTTGCCTCTATCATCTCTGTTCTACTACTTATAGTAATTTAGTAATTATAGTAATGTGATGCACTGTCCACTTTCACAGTCAGCCTCATTCCTCCCAGCTGTTATTTAGCATACTAATACCTGCCTGTTCCAGTTATTCTCTGCTAGTAAGTCATCTCCTCCTTGCCTGCAAAAGGATCATTCCAAGTGTCAGTGTGTTTGATTATTCCTGTGTTTCAGCGTTCCTGTGCTCGCCCTACCCTCACTAGTTCTTCCCTCCAGTGTCTGTGTAGTCTGCCTCTCTGAGTTTCTGTGTTCATGTGATCCACCTGCCCTCACTGGATTCTTATCAACTTCTGACTGCTTTAGACGCCATCATCCACTCAGGTAAAAGCCTGCGTCTGGCCTGTCAGCCATAATATGCCAGCTCACATCTCGTCACCAGTTGATTCTGTCCAGATCTGCTCCCTCAAACCAGTCATTAATCTTTCTTCCTGCACTCCTCATTTCAAAATCTCTTAATAAAGCTTTTGATCTTACTCAGTGTCTTGCTGAATATTGTGTTTTCAAGTTTTTCATTACAATATCAACAAGAATCTCTGTCATTTCCTGTAGTACTTCTTGATCTAAGCCCCCCGGCTCAGTTATACGCTATTGTGAAATGGATAAATTCTGTTTTCTTATTCTTCATTGTTGTTGTCAGTGATCATAACATTATCAGTTTCACTGAGTAATCCTTTAGGCAATGATTAATTAGGAGTCACTGAGCAATAATACAGACCAATAATTGTGAACCCCCCAAATGGTGTCCAGTGAAGCTGTTTGAGGAGCTTTGGCTTTTAGTGTTAAGCTTTGAATTGGCATTGAGAGATAGCATTATGCTAAAGTAGGGGTCAACCAAAAATATCTATATATAAAGGAGAGACTGATTGGGAGCTAAGGCTACTGATTACCCCTGTCCCAGAGAATGACTTATAGGGTCATTACAAATACTATAATACATACAATATGAGCATGGTATGATCTATAAGAACCTTGGTGCCACAATAAGCAGGTTTCATTGAGTTCCATTGTCAAGCCTTTTGCAGTTTCTGGTGCTTGTCAGGACAGATGTTAAAAAATGCTGTGAACTACAAAGTGTGTCGCTTGTCAAACATTTATCAGCGCAGGCCACTAATAATAGTATAGATGAGAATTCAATATTTTTTGTGGATGCTGGAAAGCAATCTCTGAGTTAGGTATTTTGTTGGGCTGGTTTCATATTTTGTACGGCACATGTGTCTTTAAATTCCTTCTAATTTGTAGTGCAGTTCTGATCTGATGTGTTTTCTTTATTTTACACAGTGAACGGTAGATTTGCCAAGCATTTTTACTGATGAAAGAAAGTAACTGCTTCAACTGGTTTTTACTCCAGAAGAACTAAAAAATAGCAATCCAAAAAATTACTCAAGTTAGAGTAAGACTATAAGACTTGCTGTTATAAGTCTACTACAAAGTCAACAGGTGACTATGGACCCACTAGAGGGGTGGCTAGATGAATAGAACAGACAAAAAACTTATTCATGCATTTATCTTTCTAATAATTGATTACTGCAACAGTATCTTCATAGGTTTGACTAGAAAGTCCATCTGAAAGCTGGAGCTGATCCAAAATGGTGCTGCCCCAGTTCTAACTAGAATTTAAACAGCGAAGCGCTGCAGCCCAGTTCTGAAATCCCTATACTGGCTGACCATAGCTCAGAGAATAGGCTTTAAAACCATTCTCTTCATATATACCATCACTGAATGGATCAGTCTGGTAGAGAAGTGTCGCCCTCTGCTGGAGAATCAAAGCGTGGTCTTGTATCTATTTACCCAGGTTATCTTTGTCTGACACAAAATGGTTTTTTTTTGTGTTTGATAAAAATCTATGATAAGAAGACTTCACCTTCCTGCAATGTTACAGAGAGTGAAGCCTTCTGACAGCTGAGTACATGGTGACCAGGGATTACTGCAACATTGACAACTGCAATGGAGCCACATCTGTCCAGCTCCCTCCAGCTGCTGTCCTTGCTTCTGCCATCACAGTTGCTTGGAGTTAGTTAAACTTTCTGAACAATACATAAATAGCTCTTTTCTTTATATTCCTTGGATACACACAGAACTTAAATACATTTTCATAATGTAATTGTTTAGTATGTCTATCATGTAAAATAAACAAATTTTGAGATTTCCAATTTCTTGTCCATAAAAGTCAACTGAGAGGAAACCTTCCTTTCATGGAACGTTTGAATCTGGGATGGGGGTTTAACAATAAATTATCATTCATAAGGTGAATTCTTTGAATTTTTGAACTTCATAACTGTGTATGTTAGAAAGCATACACATTCTGGTTTCCCACCATAGTCCAAAAAAACATGACTATCAGGTTAACTGGTATTTCCAAATTTTCTATAGACTGCTGGAGAAAGGCACCAGTCTCACATCGACCCTGATGCCAAATCTTTGATTACAATTTACAATAACCACCAAAATCACCATTTATAAATGGTAAAAAGACCATTAATTAATGATTAAGTAATTATTAATTAATTTATCACCATGTATAAATGTTAATAGATCATTCATTAAGGCAATAAGCCCATTGGTATTAGAGTAAGGCTAAGTCCAACATGACTGGGCAAGTAAAGATAATAATAAGGCTACGTTCAGGTCTCAAGTCTACTGATTTTATGGTTATGGCTAGGGTTATGGTAATATCAGACTTTTCAATAAAACTTTTGATCAGTAAAACATTTAGTTGGTAGTTATTTATAAAACTAAACAGACAAACATATATAGAAATAGCCAGATAACCTGTTTTAAACCCATAAAATTGTACATTGTGTAATTACCTTACAGAATATTGTTGGGATCCAGAGGCTTGCCCACCAGAGGGCGCCGAGGATCCCTTCCTGAGGGCTTGTGCTCACCTGCAACACCTGTCTTCCATCTGCTCATCAAGAGGACTCCTATTTAAGGAGGAGGAGACTGACACTCCAGTGCCAGAGTGTTTGCCAGTAATGATTTATCCTGCCTGACTATGAAAACCTGGAGAGAAGTCTATCTCTGGAATCCGCCTGTCTGCTCTTAGTGAAACCCTGGAGGATTGATTCTGCCTGGAATGTGCCTGTCCGCTCTCAGAGAAAACAAAGAGAGAGAACTCTGTCAGGAAATCCGCCAGCCTGCACTCAGCCTCAGTCTCTGCTTCAGCCCTCAGCCTGCCGAAAAGCCTCTGGACTCTCAAGGTTCCCCCTCTGCAGATCTGAATCCCTTCTCTCAGCCAGAAACCTGCCTGCCTGCATTCTGTCTCCGTCTCAGCCTAGCCCTCAGTCCTCAGCCCACTGTCTGCCGATAAGCCTCTGGACTCACAGGGTTTCCCCACCTGCTGATCAGTTCCACCTCTAGCAGTGGAGAACCAGCCGTGACCAGTCTGACCACTCCAGTTCCTGTTCACATTTTATTTACACTTTTGTCATTGAACCTTCTGAACTTTCTCCAAACCTCCGTGTGTTTCTGCATATGGGTTAGACATCTTAATCCAATCATGACAAATATACCTTAAACTGTGAGGAATATGGTAGATTACCAGCAAAAAAAAACTAAGCTATGGTGTCCCACTAGGGCAAACATGTCAAATTTGCTTTGTTTCCAGAGAACCAAAACATAACAACAATTCCCTATTGTGGAATATTATTTTACTTAGAGTAGTATTTGCATTGAGTGCTTTTGAATCTTTTTTGAGAATTGCATTTACAATAATTTCATTTGTGAGACCTAAACATATTATAATCTGTTTGTATGGATTTCCTGTCTGGATTTCTAACATAACGTCAATGCTGAAATCTGTCAGCACATAACTATCAAGCAGCGGCCATCAAGCAGCATCTTTACACATACAGGGGGGCTCCAAATAACATTACGCTTGGGGTCCCAATCAGGTCAGGGGCGGCACTGCCTATTAGTGATTATCCATCTTTTTTCTGTTTTGTCAGTTTTTTATGGTAATGCACTAAAGCACTTTGGCTGTGTGTTTCACTGTATTATAGTGCTTTATATATACGTAATGACCTAAATAAAATCAATTCAAGTCTTCTAAATTCTTTGTAATAGCACAATGTTTATTCATGGAACAAAGGTTTCATCAAAGCTGCCATATATTTTCCAAGTGAAAGAGAGGCTTTTGAATCATTCGTTTAGCTTTTATTCATCTCCAAGCTGCTGGAACAAAGTCCCTTTATTGGAGGGACTAATAAGGAGGAGCAGTGGCTCCTAACTCTCTTTAAAGGGTTTCAAATAAACGGTGTTTGGTTTAATGAAACTAATGTTCACTGAGGTTCAAAGAAAAAATTGACAAAGCCTTTTATCTAGGTTTCGGCAGCTTTTGTTGCTTGTCAAACAAATCCTTTGTTCATAGATTTAATGCCTACAGACATAACTATTGGTCTGCATGTCCCTATGACACTCCTTTATATAAATACACTTATGTGGTGCCCTTAAATTTCACTTTTACCATTTAAAACTGCATATTCCAGCACAGAAAATTTGATTGAAAATCTTTTTTTGGGGGAAATTCATTTTTGTCAAGTCACAATGAAAAATCTGTTGATCTTTGCTGTGTTTATGGCCGTGGTTGTTACAGGTAAGATGCACCTTTTTTTTTTTTTACAGGTATCATTATCAAGGACATATATTCACTAATGTTTTTAGACTTTTATACAAACAAGTAGCACAAGTAGTAAACATAAAAGGGAACCAAAAAAGGCAAAATCCAGAACAAACAGAAATAAGAAACGAGCACAAAGAAATTATATGGCAACATGTGCATCACAATATTTTAAAAATAATCAAAAAATTGTTATTTTCAAATGGAGAACTTACTTTTGTTTTAGATTACCCCAATAATGGAGTAAAATCTTTTGTTTTATATCCTGAAAGATATTGTTTATCAAAAGTAGGTAAA